AGTGATGGTCACTTCTATCATGCAGGCACTGAGAGTTACACTGATTTACTGATTTTTTTTTTCCTTGATTGTGGTATCAACTATTTCAGATGTAACTGCTCCTAAATTACACTGTCACGGTCACGGTGTGTGGAGGCAGGCAGGATGACGAGGACGACAAGGATTCCAATAATGATATTTAATGTAGACACAACAAGGCAGATTCAGGTAGGTGAGACACACACACTCGGGGTAACATTCACAATAACCGACAAACTCGAATACAAGAGACAGGAACAGATATAGGGCAGATAACGAGGGGCAGACAGGTGAGCACAATGAGGTGATTAACTAATAACGAGAACAGGAACAACCAAATAAGGACACAGAGGGAGAGACCACAATCAACAGTCCACAGGGGTGTGACAGACACTTAACAACAAAATTAATTGTATGGTCGTTTTACAAGTGAGTCAGGTGTTCTCATCCTTTCTGAGTGGGTAGTTCTTGACCAGAATAAGTCAATATAATAGCAATTATAAGAAAAGTATGCCAACAGACACGAAAAAGTCAAATACCTGGGTAAGTTGCACTATAAACTGACAAATAATATAAATACTATTAAATAACTAATTCCCACATTAATTTACCAAATTTTAAATCCAGAACACTTTAGCATACATATATCAGGTTTTTCATTGGTAATCAGCACTCCCTGAAGAAAATGTCAATATCCAGGTCATTTCAAACCATCAAATTCTATTTTGTAAGAGCTAAATGTGGAACAGACGATTCATTCGCTGACACTCCAGTCATGTCATATACATGTCAGGGTGCCTGAGTCATCTTCTAGCTGAGGAGCACTTCCCATCCCAATGTACTCATTAAAATATCTATCTATAACTATATTACTTAATAGTTCAGGTGTTTGACTAAATAATTCTCATATAAGGCAAATCAATGATAACACATGAATCAAAATGAATTCATGCACATGCAAAATTTTTTTATTTTTATTTGATATAAAAATGCAGATGAATGTCTTTGACTTTTGCATCACATCTTGCTAATTTTCAGCCTCTCAAAACATGTGCACTTTTAAGACACTGTGTCAAGTCAAAAACAGTCTGAAATGACAAGTCAAGACACAATTAATTGTGTTAACTTCAATTAAATAACTCTTTCCCCGCCATTGACTGAATTTTCCGGCTTTCTCTGTTTTCACTGTTACATGGTAGGAGGCGATATTACACATCTTCTGAAAGAGTACTGAATGTCTGGATCAAAACACAGCCGAAGAAGAAGCATAAACAAGCTATCGCGTATGTAAGCAGATGCATATGTAAAAATAAAGTGATGATCAAACATTAATTGATGTTTTATTAACAAGGTTCGGGAGGAGCACGTTCAGATAATCAATCAATTCGGCACAGGTGGATCTCGTCTAGATAATCAACTTAACTAGCACGATATGTATGTATGTATATATACACTGTAAAAAATGACCGTGAATTTAACGGTAAAAGACTGTAAAAATGCTACAGTAAATCCTGTTAAAAAATATCGCATGCGATTTATCGTGCAGCCCTAATATATATATACAGCCAACTCACCTCTGTCCCACAACAGTTTTCCGGCATCCCTCCTCCACCCCAACTCCTCACTTTTAACTATTCTCATCCCAGACTAGGGATGGGGGAGTTCTCTGGATTCGGGCTATATTCCGGGCTCAGAGCCCTCCCTCAGGACAGCACGCCAAATATGCTTACTATTTGCTTAATCTGATTATATGTAATTGGATTGAGAGAGCATATAAATCAAAACTGCCTAATGTTGTCCAAATAAATGTTGACCCAAAAAGTGGTGTAGGACTGTGTAAGCTTTGGGGGTGTTGATGAAGCGATCTACTCCATCTATGTTTTGATCATTCTGAATCCAATCCGGTGTAGTCTTTGACAAAAAAAATCTCAAAAAATGTTTCATCTTCTTGTTCAAAATGTGGCTTTTTTTAATGAAACATACGCACATTCAAGTTTTGATAAAGAATGCATGAAGCTAGATTTTTTTATATTTTTTTTAAGTAGAGGCTCTGTTCTTTCTTTGGACATATTGCATGTTCAGACATTCTGGGGGCCATGAAGGTTTTGTGAAAATGATCAAAAATCTAAAATATTGGCAGTGGCTAGAAACTTAAAACAAAAATATATATATAAATAATAAAAAAAAA